CTCAATGTGTGCTGGATTACTAACAATGCGGCATGGATATTCTGTTGACTGTACTGGATCTGACTATAGAAATATCAGATTAAACAAAATTCTTCTGCCACTTATGCAGCCACATTTGTCCACTCACACCTCATGATATGTCTACATGTACGTCTCATTGTATTTTTCACAGTTCATTTTTACTTCTCATTTCAAGCCTCAAAATCTGCCTTTTGGTCAAAGCATGGGAGAGCAGTATAGTCTTGACAGAGGTAGAAAACCTTTGTGCTAGTCTTCCATATTTTTAAAGAGATGAGGTACTAATATGTGCATTGTTAATTGATGGAACTTTTAGTATATACCTTACTATTATAATTTCTTGGGTTGACACTACCATCTCTCCAGTTGTTTATTTGTCTTTGTCAATGTAATTTTGCCTCCTTGTGCTGAAATGACTTTTTTATCTGGTTTGTTGTTAAAATATGAGCATAATGGCAATTAAACAACAAAAAAAGTATTATTTTGTGCAAAATTATACATCTGTGAACCAACAGAGCTTGTTTTCTGGTCTGCAGAATTTTAGCATTGTGTTACCAGTAATTTCTTTCCCGATCTTCTATTTTTCACTATTTAAACAAGTTAATAAAGTAACTGTGCAATAGCAGTTAGAACAAAATTTATCAAGTTTCAAAAACAAAGCTATTCTATATTACTTTAAGGATAGAAACTCATAAATCTGCATGTAGGTTACAAATGAAGTAGAATGGTTGGGATATGCAGTCTGTAAATACTAGTCTTGAATATAGTCACATCTGGCTACAGTGTAATTAATTTATTACATTTTATGCATGCACAGTGGGACCTCAGTATCTACTGGGATTTATTTCCAGGATCCCTTGTGGACACCAAAATCCATGGCTACTCAAATTCCATTGTATACAATGATGTAGTAAAGTGGGCTCCCCTATATTAAATGGCAAAATCAAGGATCAATTGTAATCCTTTTAATTTCTAAACTGCCTTGATCCCAAACTGACAGAAAAGCAGAGTACAAATAAAAGTTTAATAATATTAGTACTGCTAAGAATAATGATTCAGTAATTGTTATTTTATCTGTGTCTTTACATTTATATCAATCCTAAAATATTGTTTGTTTAAGGCAAGTACTGTTTAGAACTGTTTTGAGAATAAGGTATGAATTGGGGAAGGAAGGAACTGTCATATTAACAATGTATAAGTTTCTCTGGGAGCCTTTCTGGCTGAATGGCAGGGTATAAATACTCTAAAGAAATAAAGAAACAAGCAAGCAAGAAGCTGAAGATTAGCAGCAATATTTCCCCCCATAGAATTTACCCTTAGACAATGTCTATGATTCAGATAATCAACTGACTATGTACATAAATACTACTGACACTGTGTGCATGAAATGCACTCATGAAACTCCTCCACAAGCAGTATTTCTTCATTGTTTCAATGGTGGAGCAATTTTGGGCAAACAAAGGCATGTCTAGCCATATATATATATATATATATATTGACAGAAAATCTTTTGCATATACAGTCGCTCCATTTTCGCGGGGGATCCATTCCTGACCCCCCCAAAAAACGAACCTCCCCACACAAATATTAACACCCCAAGTCTGCATCAAAAAAACTGCAGAGACAAGGAACTCTTTCCTGAATATTAATTACCTTTGTATATCATGATGGCATCACTGAAATTAAAATATTGTCAATTCTAATCATTTTAAGACCAGGAAGTTAAAAAGCCATTGTTTAGCAAATATATATATATATATATATATATATATATATATATATATATATATTGTTACATTTGGAGATTGTTTTATAGGGTGAAAGCATCTTGATCAGGGGCCGGCAACCTACGGCCCTCGGGCCGGTTCCGACCCAGGTCGCCAGACTTACCGGCCCAGGCAGACCCCTGCCGCCGCACATTTTGCCATCCATGCAGCCGCCATTTTGATTTTCAAAATGGCGGCCGCAGTGCGTTTGTGCATGCACAGGAGTACTGCACATGCGCAAACTAGTCGCGGCTGCCATTTTGTTCTCCAAAATGGCGGGCATGACTCATTTGCGCATGTGCAGTAGTCCTGCACATGCGCAAACGCGCCGCAGGCGCCATTTTGAAAATCAAAATGGCGGCTGCGACATGTGCGGCAGCGCGCGCGGCGCCATTCCCCCCCCTCGGCCCAGCGGAGATCTGGACTTCGGGGGACCGGCCCAGGTCTCCAAAAGGTTGCCTACCCCTGATCTTGATCCTCTCTTTCACTCATTGGACATATTTTATAACAGTATGTGTAGCATAATAAATATGTTAGATTTTAAATAAGGTTATTGTTCTCAGTAGCTTTCTAGGTATTGTAATGTTGTTCTTGTGGTCGTTGCTTTAAACCACTTCAGTAGTTGTCTTAAAAGTCCCAATTGTTTAATTTTGTCCCTTATGTGGAGTTGCAGTGTAACACTATAGAGCAGGGGTAGGCAACCTAAGGCCCGGGGGCTGGATGTGGCCACCCCAAGGCTTTTGCACCGGCCCCAGGCCGGTCCTGCCACCGCCGCTGCTCCCCGCCATGATGATATTGATTATTGTTGTTATTACTTGTTCTTGGGGTTTTCTTGGCAAAATCTCCACAGGGGTTTTTCCATGGCTTTTCTGGGGCTGAGAGAGTGTGCATGCATATTTTGTTTATTTATTTTTTATTTTATTGTTTTATTTATTTATTTATTTTTGGTGCTTCGGCCCCCCAATTGTCTGAGGGACAGCAACCCGGCCTTCTGATCAAAAAGGTTGCCTACCCCTGCTATAGAGGCATTACCATATATACTCGACTATAAGTCAACCTCATGTATAAGCACATTACACCAGTGCTTAAATCCCTTCCACTGGCTGCCAATTTGTTTCCGGGCGCAGTACAAGTTGTTGGTTTTGACCTTTAAAGCCCTACATGGCCTGGGTCCAACTTACCTTAGGGACCGCCTCTCCCCATATGAGCCCCCATGCGCTCTTCGGTCAGCTGAAAAGAACCTACTTCAACAGCTGAAGACAAAGTTCAAACAGACTTCGCAGAGGGCATTTTCCGTCA